AAAAGTGTCAGATCCATCTGATTCATCAAAGTCACGAGACTTTCCCATGATGTCACCGCATCATGCTTATGCGTTTCTCTACCCCAATTATCAACCTTCTGATCAAAACCTATGGATTCATATCATTAAAAAAATAAAAAACTCTAGCTTAACTTCATGAAATAATATTTATTTAATTATATATTATAAATTTATTTTTTAGCATAAAGAATTCTAAATTTTATTTATATAGAAGTCAAATTAAAATTGGCATTTGCTTAATGTAAAATGCAAATCATGCACGTTACTCGATAATAAAGTCCCCCCTTTAGTTGGACCTTTTGCAAATTGCCATATACTCCTTTTTATTTTTCATTATTTGACTCTCTTAACAAAATTATAAAAGATAAGGTATGTTTCCGGAAAGTTCTCTTAATTAAAATATCGATAAATCAAAATTAACACTTCTACAAAACTTGAATTTTACTGGTACAATAATGCAAACTATAATCACACAGGTGTTTCTCTCTCTCTATATATAAAAAGTGAAATAAATAATACTTAATATTTGTTTGGAATAGCACGTGGATAAATTACCTGTAAAAATATTACTTTAAACAAGAATCTCGATCGTAATTAATAACTTAAGATCAGTTATATTTAATTCATTCATTAATGATCGAAGAAATTTGAAGTTATTAGATTGAATTGATTTACAATGAGTCAAACACTTTGAGTGACACTTATATATATAATTGCATTAATATACATAAATTAGTAGAAGTACAATTAAAGAAGACATGTAAACTTCAATCTCAACATGTTCAAATATTATAACTTTTGGAAATTTTGAACTCTTAACTTGTTTTTGTACTACAACTAATTTAATAAACTTGTTGAAGTAAGAAAAGTTTCCAACAATTACCTGTACATAAGTGATTTTTCTTATAACAATTCATACCATAGGTCTTACTATTAAAAGAATGAAATGTGTTTCAAAATAATTTTTTTAATTCCAAAAAATACTAATTGTTATTGGAGAACTCACATCGATTATAAATAAAACAAGTTTATAATATATAAGTGATTATAAATTTTATTTTGTAAGATTAAATCAAATTTAAATTTCATTAAGATATTAGAATAATATGTTTAAACATATTTTGAAATATTTGTTGTTTATTGAACTTATCGTATCGTTCTCTATTAAACAATTTATTAATGTGTGTAATCTCATCTTCAAAATATAATATTTCAACATAATTTTACTTAATTTAATTTATATACATTTTTTACAAATATTTAATCAACAAATAAACTTGAATATAAAATTCCACATCAATTAAAAAAAATCACTAATAAATTGATTATGGCAATATACGTTTTCCTATTATATTTTATTTTATTTTAAATTAATATGTGAAAAAAGTTGTACACAATTAATAATTAAATTTTAAATAATTTTTTAATACTGTTTCCAAATTTATAAGATAATGACTTCATAATTACATAAGTTTGAATTTTAACTAATAGTGAATTAAGAACCGAGTTTGGCAAATACACGCATATGTAGAATTTATTAGAATGACAGCAAAAGTTTATATTTATTAAAAGTAAAAGGGAAGGTTTGTGCGATATGCACCACGAATTTGGTTTGCGATCCATGCCATTGATGCTTTGTTCTTCTTTTTTCCATTTTTTATACAAACAAAGTTGGTGCCTTCTCAACCGCAAAGACAAAAGTCTGTCTCCTTCACCAAAAAAAAGAGAGTGTGGAAATAATTGGAATAAACAACGAATGTGTTTTCTGGGCACAAATAGAACCCACTACTCTCTTTTTTTTCTTTTCTTTTTTATTTCTATATTCTTTTTATTTATGACATGGAAAGCAAGCATCATTCTCCTACCACAACTTTTCTCATTTCTTTTCACAAATATATTTTATAAAAACTCAAAAAGTACTTTGATTCTAAAACGTATCGTCTTTATTCAGGTTTTTGTCATTCTAAGTCTATAGAAATTCAACAGGTAAAAGAAATTCTGACATTCAAGTCAGTCAAGTACGATAACAAATAATAAATATGATTATTAATGACTGTAATTAATATACTTCGTTCATAGATTTTTATCTAGATGTGTTTAGATCACACAACTTAAATATCTACTAAGGTCATATATACTGCATCACAGATAAATTTTCATGACGAAAATTGCTTCCAAGTTCCAAAACTAAATCGAATTTAGATGGCAAAGGTATAGTGTTTACAATGAGTTGCAAGTGAAGCCGTGTATACTACAAGAAGCTTAAATTAATTACTTAATTTAGATAACAACTAGCAATCACATCATAGATTGTGGGCACTGAATGGGATCATTGGCCAAAATTGGCAACATTGATTTGGATGCTTTCAGCTCTTAAAATTTCATGAGAGATGATAATGATGAAGAAAGCTTACACAAAAGCTGAGGGAACAAAGGATGATTTGCGTAGGTAACTGAACCACTGCCAAATAAAACAAACAAACAAACATATATATTATGACAAGACGAGAAACCCAACATTTAACATTTAGTACCAACAGTGATCCAAATATTTTTAAACATGGACAATAAACAAGGAAACAGACTGTTTAAAGCACTAGAAATGACATCTCACCAAGTTAACCAATACAATGCTTCTAAAAACTGAACAATGAATGATCTCTTATGCATGTGACTGCATCGGTACTTTTTTTAAAAGAAAAATACGAATAAAGTAGCTGTATGAACTACCCAGAAGATGCTGAGTCTGGTTTTCTCAGAAGTGGAAACATGAGGATTAAGATGATTATGAACGGATCCGAAGCACCCTATAATCACTGTAATAAGTTGATTTTCGTATAAATTCACAGAAGTGGAAATGAGTACTGGCTACTCGTCAAAGGAAACAGTGAAACAAAACTTACTTATAATCAGAAAGTTTTGTTTGTTGACAAAGCATAATGCAAGGCTTTTGTTGCTTAATTATACTGATGATGTTTTCTATGTCAGAGAGACAATAATATTATACAGATGGTTCTTAATTATAAACAATGGATGCTAGTGGTTTCATACACGTGACTCATAAAGTTCTGAATCCACTGCTTCAATTATTTGACATTTTGTGGCTGAGCTTGGGAATCCAGAAAGTGTGATCAGTTGTATATATATGCACAGTGTTCAGACTATAAGTAAAACTTTGTGTATTGCGCATAAAGCAACGGTACATGCTTCAATTTTTAAGAACTTATAATTATATACTATGATGTTATAAAGTAGTGATGTTGTTTACAATATATTTTTCTTAGCTTAATTACAGTTCTTTAATACGTTGAAGGTTGATGAGAGGATGAATTTGGATTGAATTGCTGACTCATCAAAATTTGTTGTTGGTTGATGCAGTGATTGTTGGCTTATTCATAGTCACTCATTTCGGCTGAAATGTCTTTGTGGTTTAATCAAAGAGATAGATACACGTAATTATTAGATACTCAAATTAGTTAATATTTTAGTAGAGTACTTATACTATGAAATAAAGATAGAATCAGGGAAGATTTTAGTACAAATTATCGAAAACTTAATCAGACGGATAAGATTGACTTGAGTTTAAACACGAAGAAGCTTAATTACTTATTTCTTTGTGTTTTTTGAAAATAAAAAACGAAGGACTAAATGCCCTATGGGGTGCAGAGAGAAATTTGATGGGGTGCAGAGAGAAAATTTGATGGGGTGCAGGAATAAACAACCATTTTTGGAATAGAAGTTTAGATTTCAGATTTGTCAATCCAAATAATAAAAAGAGTGTAGGAAGAAAATATAGGACTGCAGATAGTAATTGACTAAACTATGAACCACGCAATAAGTTTCACAATTGGATTTAATTATTTTTAAGAGAATAATTGTAGGGACTAGAAAAATAAAGAATAATCGTTATCTTCTTTATAATTTGCGTAAAACAAAAATAAACTATACCCTCTGTTTCATATAATATAAGTAGGGTGCAAGAAATAAATTTCATTCAAATTTGTTAATATAAATATCATTTATCTTTTTCATTTATACTTCTAAGAATTAGAATGATGAATAATATAAACTACAAATGGATTATTGATGACAAGTTTAGCTTTATAAATTTCTTGCTATCTACATCTATTTTTTTTTATGTGTGTAAAAAACTTACGATGGAACTTATATGAGATGGAAGGAGTACATTAAACCTATATAAGTGTATAAATAACAAGTATTATTTAAACTTTTTAATGTAATATTGATTACTTTTTTCTACAAATATTTTTTAATCAGTGTAACTGAATTCAGTTTTGTGATAGTAGCTATGAAAAAAACAGTACCATGAGAGAAAGTTGAGAGAATGTGCATAGAGAGGAAAAGTGGGAAGAAAAGTAATTACTGTAATAAATTAGATGCCACACGGCTAACTTGACAGACACAACTACGCTTAATTCTTCTTAAGGTTTTTTTTATGTTTTTTATCATTTAATTTTAAATAAAAATTAAAATTAATTTCTTTTCAAAATTTGACACAAATTTAATTCTTAATTTTATAATCATAAACGTCTAACAAACAAACAAATTTAGTTTAAAGTATTAAATTCACACATTTCTAAAATTAAAAAACTAAATTAAACCAAAATTTAAAAAACAAACTAATTTTAATTTTAGTAAAAAAAAAGCATATTTAATCCTTATATTTATATAATAACATGATTCAATACCAAACGTTATAGTAAAATAGTGGAAGATCAAAATGCCACGATAGAGTTGAAAAAATCTCAACTTCCCTTCATTGTTTTGGGGAATGCATGTGTTGGTTAATGTTTTATACAAGGTAAAAACTTCAACTTGCACTATAGTACTTAAGCAAAACTTAATCATATAACGAAAGGCACAGAGAAGGAGCATGTGGAGTTAATGGCACCAAACAATGCCAAGTAGAGACTTGAGAGTGACATACTAGAAGACACGATTCACTTCTTATGACGCACATGACGCCTGTCCTGAAAAACCTATTTAGAAAAAGTTCAAGTCTTGGCAGTATAAGAAACTCATGTACACTCTTTATCTTCCCCCTCATTATCCCCATTGCTACAACAACATTACATGTCAAAAGTTCTGTTTACTGTGATACTTGCCGTGTTGGATTCAAAACCAATGTCACCTTTTACTTTGAAGGTACAATTGTTTTAGATAGAACATTAACATGTTAGAAGTGGACTTTAAACCTAACTCAACCCCACAAAATCAGCTTGTAGGGTAAGGTTTGCATCTATTTATAAACTATGAATTGGTCTTATCTCTAGGTGACGTGGGACTTCCAACATTGCATGTTGTTAATCAGGTGCAAGGGTTGGAATTCAGTGCAAAGAAAGGAAGACCTTGAAGGAAGTTTTCTACACGGAGGGTGTGACGGATTCGACGGAAACATACCACATTGAGGTTGAAAATGACCATGGCAACCATATTTTCCAATGCATGCTTGTTAAAAGCCCTATTCAATGGTGTAGTACCCCAGATTCTGGGTGTGACAGATCGAGCATAGTACTAACCCATAACAAAAATGGCATAGTCAACCATCTTCGCTATGCTAATTCCATGGGTTACCTCAGTGACCAGTCCTTGCCTCAATGCCACAAACTGCTTAAATACTATTTGGCAGACTCCAATTTTTGATCAAAATATATCATTTACAAAAAACAACTTGTTCTTTGTTTCGTGCGTTAATTAATTAAGAAAATATATTTATGTTGTTAATTAGTATTTGTTGACGTCGATCGAGCTCTTGCGGCTTAGTCTTGCATACTTTCTAACACATTTTCTTGTCACATCTGTAAAAATTTATTGAGTTTTTAAGGATTACAATTAACGTGTCTTAGTGCAAGAAATTGGATATCTAGAAGGCATCAACAAGGGTTTTTAGTTTTGGTAAGATGAATTTTCCCTAAACCTCCTCACACATGTATTCAGATTGCTGAAAACTTACACTGAAAAGTTCTTTCAGTAAAAAGAAAAAACACACATGCCAAATAATGCATATCTCAGTCTTATTAATAAGAATAATACTTATGATGAGATCACTAATAATTATCATGTGTTAATGCGATTACAAATTTTTCCACTTTTTTTTTCTGTTTATAATAAGTGAGTATATTATTATCAATTGGAAAAGTTTATGAATATATGTTAAATATAAAAATATGTAATGTTTGTTTTACTGGGAATAAAAATAAATTAATGGCTAAAAATGTTTAATTTTTTATTTTAAAATATTAAGAACTAGTTTAGTTAATGAGATTTTATTTTGATAATGACTTGTAAATATCTAATTTTACTTATTATGTTGATTGAAGAAATTTAAGTACTGTTCAATAATGAAAGAAAGTAAAAGACCCATTTAATCTGATGCCAAATTAATAAACTAGAAAAATACTTAATTTAGTATATAATTTCGTAAGATACTGTTACAAAATGAAAAGAAAAAAGACTTATGGCCACACATTTACTTTCCAGACCTTTTCAGGTCATGGGCTTCCTATAAGGAGGTGGGCCATGTTCTTGGGCAAGAAGGCCCTGCTCACCCCACCAAACTTCCTCTTCAGTGGGCCACCAAGGGGGAGATAAGCCTCTCTCCAAAGGGTGGGCCATGTTCTTTTACATGTATTTTTTGGGGTGATTGAGTTTTGCATAATATAGATTATTGACATTATGTATAAACATGGTTATTAACATTAAAGTATTTCACCTCAATGATATTTTCAATACTGTTATCATCGCTCTCCTTATAGAGGTTCCCTACCATGTTTATTCCAAACCTACGAGGAGACTTTATCCTCCATTTAAAAAATTTACATAAATTTCAAAATATTTTTATCTATTATTTGGTTATCGTAATTAATAAAGGAAAACTTATTTAACCCATTTCACTCTGTCAACACTCAATTTCGTCCGTGTAAGTAAATCAATAAAAATAAAAAAAATAAGAGAATAATAATTAATGGTGGGTAAAAAAGGATAAAATAATAACTTTAATACTAAATACAATATTTTTGAAATGTTAGTTTAATATGGTGATAATTTGAATTAATATTATGCTAATAATTATAAACAATAATTAAAACAGTATATCAATATAATTTGTTGCATCAGTTGCTTTTAAAGAGGAAAATATGATTTTCTAATAATGTTTTAAATATTATTTAATTTGTTTTCTGGCAACAATGACCATTTCTTTCCCTGTTTTGTTCATTGTGAATTAATTCACAATTAAGGGACAAAATTATCATAATATTACAATTTGTGTATATAAATACGCACACTCTGCCATAGAAAAGAAAAAAACGAAAAAAAAAATAGAGAGAAGCATGTAGAAATAATAGAAAGAGATTATAGAAAAAAATAGGTTCTCACCCATAAGGATTCTATGAACGACAATCATCAAAGAAGAAAGAAGAGAGTACTGAAAGCTAAAAAGGTATGTCACCTCTACACCATTCTTGATTGTACTCTGAAGTTTTTTTTTCTAAAGGTATTTTTTTTCTACACACGAATAATGTTTTTTTTAAATCAATTTTTTATAAGTATTTGTCGGTCCCGCTGGTTTTTTTCTTTTTTCCACCATTCTTAAATAAATAAAAATACAAAATCTTCAAAACAAAAAAAAATGTTAATCTTGTTAAATCAAATTTTTTTCGGATTTACTCTTCAAAAATCTAAATCAATCAATAATAAAGAACTACATGATCCTTGATTGTCTATTATAAATGGTAGGACGAAGGCCAATTCTTGTCGGTTCATAAAACAAAAAAATATTTTTTTGTTTCTTAATAGCCTTTTTTTTATTTATTTTTTTATCTTTTTAGGGAAATTTAAACATTTTAAAAAACCACGTCAACTCTATACATTTAATTAAAGATACTGCCCTTTGGGTAGGTGCGATAGGATGCTAATATCTTTCTTACGCGTAACCGATTTCTGAACTTAAAAATCTCTTTTCGTACACCATGTCTTATTTTATGGTGGCGACTCCTAAAACCTTTTCTCAACCCCGTTTGTTTTTCGATTCACCGTGCCGTCGCAATCGCGACATACTCTGTTACAACCACGTTATTATTTTGTGATTCAAAAACCTGATGGCAATTGCTTCATTCACCCCATCAAATATCTCCTCCTACCTCATAAAAACTTCCTAAAAATGTATTCCATAAAAAAGGGGATGATTGATTTCCAAAGATAAAAAAATATCCAAAATTATTTATTATGTCCCGGAAAATGAATTCCAGAAGTGATAGGGTGTAGGAAAAAAAATGATAGGATGCAGGGAACAATTGTCAGACCTAATTGAACACTTTTGGGTTGGATTGGATGCTATGGCCTCATTGAAATAATCTCAGGTCTACACAAAAGTCTAAATTATTAAATACTTTTTTAACTTCATTTGCTTATAAATCTACAACATTGATATCCTTCATTAACCCTTTAATATATTATTAATCAATACTTTTTCTTTTATTATTGCACTCTCTATTTGTATCCTTTTAAGCTGTATCGAAATAAGAAACACAAAAGTTTAAACCTGATTATTGATAATCATTGAAAAATAATTTTATTTTTAAAAATATATTATTTTTATTTATTAAGTATTATAAAAAATTATATTAAAAATAAACTTAAAGTTTGGCGCATACTTAATTTATGTAGTATTTTTGCCAAATCTGACCAGAAAAAGACAAGTGACATATTTATTGTTATTGATCGAAACAAATATTTTATTTTATTCGTTGGAATTTGCTTTGCCAACTCCAAATTGCGAAAGGTGGCAAACACTCGTGCCGAGCCGACAATCTTAAATTCTACTATTTTTTATTTGTTTGTCTTAACGCCGGCTTTTCAGTGGATTCAATGAGATTCGAAGATAAATTGTTTATTTGAAAGAATTTTGAAGATAAATAAAAATAAATTTGAAAATAAACTTTTAATTTATCATGTCAATATAATTTTATACTAATTATCATAAATTTTATTTTTAAATTTATTCTCATTTATTTTTAAATTCATTTAAATAAACGACAAAAAATTTATCTTCAACTCTCCTGAAATCTACTCCCTCAAATCCGCTAAAAAAAAGACCTAAAAGATAACATACAGAATTAAAATATGATGAATAACTTCTTGTAATTGAGAATGCATCTCTGCATTATCTAACAATACAAGTTAAAACTGAAAACAGAGGGAGAAAATCAAATAACCCATTGAAGTCAATTGTGATGTAGATTTAAAGAATAAGACGTTTTTTCTTCTGACATCACCGCTCTCTCTAATTGGACTTTTATGGCTCTGTGCGTTCTCTCTGTAAATTGAAAGCCACAGCATTCGCCTTCTCCGGATTCTTCCCATGCTTTTTCTATCTTAATCAAGATGAACTGGAATGAATTATCTAAGATGTAATGTAAACAATGACACACAACACGAGACATTATGCCATTATCATTATTCAATAGATATTGCACTATTAACTAGATAGATTCCTTTCACACAATACTATTAATTCTTTGTTTGTGTTAGTTACTTCGCCGCCATTATCATACCTGCACTTTTCTCCACTCAGCCTCTCCAAAATCTTTGTAGCCTTCAGCTTTTTCTTTTTGGGTGTGTAAATAATTTTGACTTTTGGAGCATTTGATCTCTTAACACACTCACTACTTCTTTCTCCTTCGCTTCTAAACAAAGTTAAAACGTTACTCCTCTGCTTTTGTCTCATCCCGCTAAAAAATCAACCCAAAATTTTATTTTATAATAATACGTACATCATCAACATTTGCCTTTGTTTTCGCTACCTGGGTCCAAGGTTCTTGTCTAGTCCACTTTTTCTCCCCACCAACTGAATTTGAAGGAGAGTTCTTCCCGCTGCAGTGACATTTTACCATTCTGTGATCTACAAACAAGGGAAGTTGTTGGTCAGAACTCACAAGTAAAACAGTGTATGGTGAAGGGATTTCTCAAGTGCTTGAATCGTGCTAGACCCCCATTGATTGATTATACGATGGAAAATGAGTCTTTGAAATGAAAATGGGTTGTGTGAACTCCAAAACTGATAAAAATGAAGCCTTGCGTCTTTGCAAGGAACGAAAGAGGTTGATCAAGGTGGCTATTGATTCCAGACACGCTCTTGCTGCTGCACACTTATCTTACATTCGATCTCTTCGAAACATTGGCGTTGCTCTTCGACGATACGCTGAGGCAGAGATGCTGTTAGAGTCCTCCCTTTCGGTTTCAGACCACACACCATCTCAATCTACTTACCCTTCTCCTTCTCCATCGGAGTCGCCATCGAACAATGAGAGTCACCATCACGTGAGTTACATGAAGACAGGTGGCTGTGAAGCTGTAACTTTCATGATCAATCCCCACGCTGAAAACCTTTTGGTCGATGAAGCCTTTGAGAGTGATGCCTCTTGGGATTTCTTTGATGCTGCCGATAGTGCTAAGAGTTCTGAGTTTACGGGGCATGCTAGTCACTACAAGGATGAAGAAGAAACTGATTCGTTCTTGGATGCGTCGAGAGGAAATGACTATTGCAGTTTGTCTGTGGAATGTTGTAAACAAAAGGGTTGTGGAGAAATGAGGCGATCAGAGTCATCAACTGATGTGGGTATTGTTGGACGGTTGAGCTCAAAGAACAATAAGAATGTAGCTGTGAACACTGAGAGGGAAGATCCTTCTGAGTTCATCAGTCACAGGGCTAAAGATTTTCTTTCTAGCGTGAAGGTTATAGGGCATCGGTTTGTTCGAGCTTCTGAATCTGGTAGGGAGGTCTCGAGGCTATTGGAGGCAAACAAATTAAAGGTTGGATTTTCTGAGCAAAAAGGTGCTTGTTACTTCTTGCATTAAGCTTCATTATAGCTACTAAACTTACTTACTAGTATGAATCATGTTTTTAATGTCTACGATATTGCTTGCTAGACTCTAAATACTGTCCTTTTTATGTTAGGGAAGTCATCTACCACGATTTTTCTTGCGGCTTTTATCTTGGCTTGCTTCAGTGAAAATGCCATACCTGCTATTTCCCAAGGTATGTTCAAATTCAATTATGTTCCAGCACGATTCTTTAAATCGGGGTTGAGAGTTTGTTATTCTGCATTCGGCTGCTTAATTTATAAAATCAGTCTATAAATTTCAATCTGAGTACGAAATAACATTTTGAAAAAGAGAATTTGTTGGATGGACTGATATGCGTCTCTCTGTGTAGAACCTGCACAAAAGATTATTAGTTGGAAGCGGACAGAATCTTCTCAATCAGGCTCAATCAGAAACCCTTTAGTTAAAACATCAAAGACATATATGGATGATAGTGGAAGTGACTTTTTTGAAGAACCCTGCATGATTGCTGGAAGCCATTCCTGCACCCTTGAAAGATTGTATGCTTGGGAGAGAAAACTTTATGATGAAGTAAAGGTATTACACAATCAGCAAAATCCGTTTGACATCACATGATATCCTAAGTGTTATTTTACACTACAATCTTCTATGTTTCCCTTTTATTGAAAAGGTTTTCGAGAAGCATTAGATATAACCGTTATTAACAATGAAGTGGTGGAAAGAAAGGAGTGTATTTGCAAGCACAGTTAATGATTCTAGAATGTTCTGGATAATCTTATCTTGTTCTGTTCCTAGAATAAGCAGATAGGTCTAAATGTAACATTAACATTTTGTCAAGTCGCTCATTATATGGTTAAATGTATTGCACATCCAATTTTTTTTGTTTATGTTCCTTATCTTATACTTTTGACTAAAGTGACAATGGCGTTGTTTGTAGGCAGGTGAATTCATAAGGAAGAAGTTTGATCGAAAATGTGATCAGCTAAGGCATCAATTTGCAAAAGATGAAAGCAGTAGAGTGATTGACAAAACACGATCCATAGTGAAGGATCTGTATTCTCGGATAACAGTAGCTATCTATTCTGCTGATTTAATATCTAAACGAATTGAGATGATAAGAGATGAAGAATTGTTCCCACAACTTTTGGAACTTACTCAAGGGTAAGTCACAATTTTTTGACTTCTAAGTATGTGCTGATGAACCTGAATCTTTACCAGCCTTGATAATTGAGTGTTAATGTGTACTGATGGAAATGTTGGCAGTGCAGGTTGATGAGGATGTGGAAGGCTATGCTTGAATGCCATCATGCACAATACATTACTATGTCATTGGCTTATCATTCAAGGAGCTCAATGAGGAGCTTGGAAGGAGATACACGAAGAGAGATAACGGGTGAGCTACTAAAAGAGCTTGAGTGCTTTGGTTTAAGCTTGTCTAACTGGATCAATAGCCACACTTCATACATCGAATCTCTCAATGGATGGCTACAAAACTGTATACTAGAACCAAGGGAACGTTCCAAGAACAGAAAGCCATTCTCCCCTCGTCGTGCTTTGGCCCCACCAATATTTGTTCTCTCTCGAGATTGGTGTGCTGGGATTAAGGTTTTTCCCTTTCAGGAACTAAGTCATGCAGTAAAGTACTTTGTATCTAATCTTCATCGCACGATAGACCAGCAAGATAAAGAGCTCCATGAAAAATATAATTCAGTTGTTGCAAGCACTAGTGGAGAAACCAAGAGCAAAAGTAATGATGAGGGTGAAGATGACTCTTCACGTTTGTGTTACATACATGAAAGTTTAACCAAGCTTGTTCATCAACTCACTAAATTTTCTGAGGCATCATTGAAGGTGTACGAGGATATCAGACAGAAAGTTGAAGCAGCTCAAACTGCGTATCACAGTTGTAAGTCCATCAGGACTGGCAAAATTCAATCCTAAAATAGAAACCACTCTTCCATCTTGCTTAAGATTAATAGAAATATGAAAGACAGAATGAGGAACTTATTTGTTGTGTTGGTCTTGGTATTTATATCAGTTCTTCTTTGGCCATTTATTTTTTCTTCTTTCACATGCAGCTAGTATTAGCTTCACCATATCTTCGGGTTTTTATCTAAATTTCTTTCCCCAAAAGGAAACATATCTATAACTCTTATGGGTTTATGAAGATCCTACCCTCCCTACTTCAATTTCTTTTATTAGAGATGGTTTTCCTAAAAGTCCATAGATAACAACTTGAGAGAAAATCATCAAAGAACCTCTTTTTGAAAAAGTTAGCTCGACTCTGTTTGGAATGAGAAGTTACTGACACTGTGACTGCAGTGCATGGACTTGGTGCAATATTTTTTAAGGCTTTATTCACTTGAATAAATTTGGAGGAGACTAATTGAATAGATTTGAGAGGATTTGAAGATAAAACTTTTTGTTGTTTATTTGAATAGATTTGGAGGTAAGTGAGAGTTAATTTGGAAGTAAATTTTTTTAATTTATTACATCAATCAAATCCTATACTAATTTTTACGAACTTTACTTCCAAATTCACTCTCACTTACCTCCAAATCCACTCAAATAAAAAAAAATTACTTTCAAATCCTCTCAAATCTCTTTTTCCTCAAATCCATTGAAGTTAATAAAGCCTAAAAGAGATTATGCCCGACTCAGTCCATCAATTTTCGATTTTTACGATGATCCTATATTTCTTTATCCATATATAAAAAACAATCAAGGTAAAACTGAAGTACTGAACTATTATTACGTATGTTCCGAGAATAAAAATTATCATGATTCACAAGCTAATTTCTTCATAACAGAAGCTAAAGTTCATTAATTAAAAACAACGTGATAAAAACTCTGACTTGATGTTGATGAATATTATTTAAATCGTACACGCCGCTTGTACTCGTATTTTGAACACCTCACGCAACTCTTAAACGAATTAAGCCCATTGTCAAATCAAGCATGATGCAGCACAATGACAAAAATAATTCAAAGGAACAAACGTAGGACAACTGTAGACTCCACTATATTTTGGAATGAGATGAGTAACACAAGAAAGCAAGAGATATGAAAAGATAAAAAAGAAAAATTGAATGGAAAAAAATAGAAAGAATAAAAAATAAGAAATGTTACTTTTACAGGTGGATTTACATTCAAAAGACACGTCATATGGCATGTGTAATCCCAATCAAATAGTAAGGTAAGAGAATAATAATAAGGATAATACAGGAATGTTACAAAAAGAAAATTGTAATGAGATGTGAGTGTGCAAGATCGGTCAGCACCACTACACGAACAAAGTTTCATAACATGCATGACTATCAACTCGATCTTTCACCATGAATCTCCAATTCCAGCTTGACTCTTTTCACCATGAATCTCCAGTTCCAGCTTGACTCTTTCACCATAGATATGTAGTTTCAACTCGGTCTTTTCACCGCTGATCTCAAATTCCAGCATAAATGTCTACCTTCAGCTTGGTCCTTCTCCATGGATCTACAACTCCAACTTAGCCGTTCCACCAAAGATCTTCAGCCCCAGCTCACCCTTCTACCACTAATCTCCGGCAACACCAACAAACAAGAAGTTAGTGAAGTGCAACTGGAATTAGTTCCACCGTGTCAGGAATCAGTTGCAAGCCATGGAAAAGTCATTGTGAATAGTATTTTCAACCAAACCAAACGAACACAACATTAAGACATCATATTTCAAACATAAATCTCAGTCTAATCAAATATTTCATTTAGAAAATTTTTCACATATTTTGCAATTCAAAAATATAACCAATCACTACAGATCGATCTATCTGAACCAACTACATTTGACCGATTGTTCTAAATCGACCATCCTTATCTACAAAAATAACATATTTTTCTTCCTTTCCATATTGTAAAACTAATATTAAAATAAACATGTTAGCTATATCAAATGAATGTATAGACATGTGAACGTATTTATGCTTAAAAAATAAATTAATAAATAAAAGAATATATATATATAAATTATAAGAATTAAAAAATTTTACGTGTAGGTGTCTCATCTTTGATTAGCTCTGGTATGGTTGTTCTGCCATGATTACCAAGACCCGGTTTCTCTCTCTTCATACACTATCATTTAATTTGGTTAGCTATATATTAAAAATAAAATATATAATATGAACATAAATCAATAAAATTAAGATATAGATTGTTTAGACAACTTATATTTTCTTGTATGAAACTTATGAACTTATAGTTATAAGATCATACTATTTTTAATTGATAATATTAATTGAAACCTTTTTAAATGGGATATTTTGAAAAGTGCATATAAAATATTATATTCAATAAATGTGATTTACGAATGTAAACTATGTTTTTAGTGCTGTCAAAATGGGTTGTAACCCGCGAGTCAATCCGGCTTACTACGGGTTTGAGCCGGGTTGAGTCTGAAAAAAATGAATACGAGTTAGTTTTTAACCCGGCTCACTTAGAATCCGGCTCATTCGGGTTGAACCCGTGGTGAGCTAAGTTGACTCATCAACCCACCTAATTTAATTTAATTATTTATTATTTTGTATTTTAATATTATTAGTTAGCATTTTTTTATATATTGTAATGGAGAAGTGATACAAAAATTATCAATATTAAAAACTTATTTGTTTGTCTTTTGTGCTTGTTTTTGGATTAGGCTTAGATTGTATGATATATATTTTTGATAAGTGTGAAAAACAGATGTTTTGACACTTATAAATGATCTCAATTTTGTAATTATTCATGTTATTACTCAGTGAAAAGTCGTAAGAGGAAGTAGATTGTGTTGTAAATTATTGTTCAGGAAAAGTTGTACAAAAGTGAATCTGTCAGCCAATTCTCGCATAGCAGAAGCAAAATTCGCAGAGTCAGGAGAATACATTCGCACAGCGCACCACCATTGGTTCGCTGAGCGAATGACATCTGAGAAGAATGAAAAGTTGCAATTCGCACAACGCACCAGAGGTTGTGCGCTTAGCGAAATTGTGCAGTTGAGTGCTGAATTAATTTTAATTCGCACAGCGAATCTGCTTCTGTGCGCTGAGCGAGTGGAGCAGTTTTATGAGAAATCAACTGTCTCTTAAAAGACGTGCTTTGAATGATAGCGGGGGATCGGACTGAAAGGAAAAACTTGGAGAACTGCTCTGGAGAACAAGGAGACCATCAAGAGACCTCTCTGAAGACATCAAGACTGCACATCATGCAAGGAATTGCAGAAATGAGTATGTTTGTGATGTCTAGGATAGGCTAAACTTTTATTCGTTGGAATTGACTGTAATGGCTGACATTTGATGTAATCTTTCCTGTTCAATATAAGTTGTGTTCATATGCTTTTCTTGTTTACTTTTTATTTTATTTTACGGAAGTAAAATAAACTTGTTTTTATATTTAAATTGTACTGGGAAGTAAATTTGAGTAATAACGCAAGAAAAGCAACCAGAAGGAAAGAGGCTAGGAATAGTTTCAATTCTCCTGGTCATCAATAACATCGTTCTTAATGCAAAGTTTATGTTTAATTACTTAAGGAATTAATAATTGAACATAATTCTTTAGAACTTGTTTTAAGGAATTAAAAAGTTTATGTTTAATTACTTAAGGAATTAATAATTGAACATAATTCTTTAGAACTTGTTTTAAGGAATTAAACCAAGATACTGTGATGTTGATGTTTGAACGCAAGTTATATTGCTCAGAATAGTTACTGTAATGTGGTCATGAAGTCAATTCCAATGAAGCTTTCTTTAAATTTTAATTTCAATTTTAAATTGTCATCTAGTTTGAGATTATTAATTCACTTATATTTTGTTGTTCAAATTGATTTTGATAAATAAATTTTAATTGAATAACGTAACACAAATTCCCTGAGGAGAACGATACTTTACTTATCACTGTATTACTTGTAACGATTTGGTATACTTGCCAAAAAGTTAACAATTTTTATTTTGAATTGTCTTTGGAGTTTAACATCATCTTAGAGTGAAATTTATTTAGATTTAAATTAAAAAAATTATAATTTTTTTATTTTAAAAAAAAACATAATTAAGTGAGTTAGTAAGTCAATCCGTTTAACCTACCAACCTGTGGTGGGTCGAACCGGGTTTGAATTTTTTCACCTTGATAATAAGTAAGTTGGATTGAGCTGATTCACTAATTGACCAACCAGTAGTGGGTTAAGCCAGATCGAGTGGGGTTACCCGAGAGTTATAGTTTTTAAATCTTATTTAGGTACTTCACAATAATCAAAAAACATTTTTTCCGCTTTAAATTATGATAATATACTATATAATTAACAAAACATGATAAATTAATTTTTTATGCACATTTCTACGTATAATTGTTTCGTCACATGACTGCAATAGGCGAAGCCTTTTTTTTTCGTTGATCCAAAACCAAGCATGCAGAAAAGAGAGATAGTAATATTAGTAGTAGTTTTGTGAATTTCATTTGAGTTTCCGCACCATTTTTTTAATCATTCAATTATTTTAAGAATTCATTATTGATCTTGACTTTATCGATTAATATATATAATCATTACTTTTTCTCCCATATTGTTGTAAAAGAGATATACCTATTATTTATTTCTCTGTGACTTATTTAACATCTTGTTTATAAACTGATATCTAGTTAGAATGATATTAAACGCATTATTTTTAATAATACTATTTAATTTGGGATGCATTTAATAATAGAATAGTAATTTTTTTATATATTACATGAATATTTATGTTCAGATATATTTGAATTTAATTTGGTTATTTTGAAATATTTTTTTGTGGATGAAAGAACCAAACATACTTTTAATAATACACATTTAAGTGTGTGGAATTCAATAAATAGCATTCTCTGTCTCTCTGTATATATAATATGTAATGTTGATAGATATAAAAGAAAAGAAATGGTTTGACATTGAAACACTCCTCTAAATGGTGGCCAATGTGATTGCGTCCAACATCAGCTTTCAGCAAATGCAAAGC